GTGGATGCTTCTCTGAATAGAACTTAACAATCTAAAATTAGAAAATACTTGAGCGAACAGTATTAGGAAAAAGGGCCACTCATAGAAAATGACAGGATTATATTCTTAAAAACTTAAAACTAGGGGCTGGGAAGATCTCAGTGATAGAGCGCTTGCTTTGCATGCCTGAGGCCCTGGGTTCGATTCCTCAGCACCACATAAGCAAAAAGAAAAAAGCCAGAAGTGGCGCTGTGGCTCAAGTGGTAGAGTGCTAGCCTTGAGCTGAAGAGCTCAGGGATAGCGCCCAGGCCCAGAGTTCAGGCCCCACGACCAGACCCAAAAAAAACTAATATGATAAAGACACAAACATATTAACTTTAAATCAAAAACATCTAACAAAATACTATGAAACTGATAGATTAAAAAAAAAAATGGGGGCTGGGAAGGTGGCTCAGTGGTAGAGTGCATGCCTTGCATGCACGAGGCCCCGGGTTTGATTCCTCAGCAAACATAAGCAAAAAAGAAAAAAGCTGGAAGTGGCGCTGTGGCTCAAGTGGCGGAGCACTAGCCTTGAGCTGAAGAGCTGAGGGACAGCGCCCAGGCCCAGAGTTCAGGCCCCATGACCGGACCCAAAAAAAAAAAATGATGCCCCAACAAATTAAAAAAAGGTAATGAAGCTGGGCACCAGTGGCTCACGCCTGTAATCCTAGCTACACAGGAGGCTGAGATCTGAGGATCGCGGTTCAAAGCCAGCCCAGGCAGTAAAATCCATGAGACTCTTATCTCCAATAAACCACTAGTAAACCAGAAGTTGCGCGGTAGAGTGCTCGCCTTGTGCTGAAGGGCACAGGGACAGCGCCCAGGCCCAGGCTGAAGCCCCAAGACAGACAAAAAAAAAAAAGGTAATGAAGGCTGGGAATGTGGTAGAATGCTTGCCTAGCATGCATGAAGCTCTAGGTTGGATTCCTCAGTACCACATAAACAGAAAAAGCTGGAAGTAGCACTGTGGGCTCTCAAGTGGTAGAGTGCTAGCCTTGAGCAAAAGAAGTGCAGGGACAGTGCCCAGGCCCTGAGTTCAAGCCCCAGGACTGGCAAAAAAAAAAAAAAAAGGCTAATGAAAAATAACTGAATCAGGTGCCAGTGGCCCACACCCATAATCTTAGGTATTGAGGAGGCTGAGACCTGAAGATTAAAGTTTAAAGCCAGCCCTAGAGGGGTGGCTCAAGTGGTAGAGCACTAGCTCTGAACAAAAAAGATGAGCAAGAGTACAAGGCCCTGAGTTCAAGCCCCAGTTCCAACACATACCCAAAAAAATGGCAAAAAAAAAAAAAAAAAATCAGTGAATATATGGATACAATTAAATAACCACTTACAGCACAAAACAATTATTAGTAATTTTTATTATCAATTTAAATTATTCAGGCTGGGAATGTAGCTCAGTTCCAGAGCAACTACCTAGTATGAAAACCTAGGTTTGATTTCTACTACTTAAGAAAGAAAAAAGCTGGACACCACTGGCTCACACCTATAATCCTAACTACTTAGGAGGTTGAGATCTGAGTGAGAATCATGGTTCAAAGCCAACCCAGGCAGAAAGTCCTTGAGACCAGTATTTCTATTTCTACAGAAAGACCCAGAAGTGAAGCTATGGCTCAAGCAATACAGTGCTACCCTTGAACACCAAAGCTTAGGGACAGTGCCCAGACCCTGAGTTCAAGCCCCAGGACCAGCACAAAAGAAAAAAGAATAAAAGGAAAAGACAGACCGACAGAAATCCAGATGGATTGTCTTGGGAATGAGCTCATTCTTAGAAGTGGTAGTTTTGAGCCTGAAAAGCTTTTTGATATATTTAGTGTTGTACTGTGTAAAGAAGCTGAATAAATGACCCCAATACCTCTGACCATCTGGTTTTATCAATTAGACAGAAAAAAGAGAGCAACAGATGAGGTTAATATGAGTAAATTATGACATATGCATGTGTGAATTCAAAAGAGCCTATTTACCCATCTTTGCCCCCATCTGAACAATTCAAGAACTCTAGTCTTAGTTCAAGGCATTCTTCACACTTCCATATTCCACAAGTAAAAAAGGAACATTATAAACAAAAATGTTTCCTAAGACAGGAGCCAGTGGCTCATGCATGTGAATCCTAGCTACTCAGGAGGCTGAGATCTGAGGATCACGGTTCAAAGCCAGTCTGGGCAGGAAAGGCCGTGAGATTCTTATCTCCAAGAAACCACTAGAAAACTAGAGGTGTCTCTGTAGCTCAAGCAGTAGAGGGCTCACCTTGAGCTGAAGAGCGCAGGGACAGCGCCCAAGCAGCCCAGAGTTCAAGCCCCACAAAAGACAAGAAAAAAAAAAAAAGGTTTCCTAATGAGCTTTCAGGTACAAGCTAGCTTTCAGGAAGTAGAGTTTCTGGTTGTGAATTGAGATATAGACATTAATCATCATTTATTGTAACTAGGGCTGATGCTTCAATAGGCGAAACTAGCACAAAGGAACAGAGAAGGAGGGAACATATACCCCATCCATGTGAAGTGCTTCCTCACTTGATCCAAACACTCACCCCAGGTTAAACACATCCATCATAGTGAAGATCTCCACAGTTAGAAAGAGCTCCAACTCCCTATCAAAGCTTCCTGCCCATCAGAGTAACACACTTCACAACCCAGTACTTTGGAAACAAAGGACCAAGCAACAAACAATGAACAGAGGAAAGTGTGGATTAAAACCAGATCAAGATTTTCAGAAGAGAGTGCCATTCCTAGAAGGTTAGCTTAATACTGAAGACAAAGCCACTCAATCAAGATGAAAAAGAAAGCCAGGCTCCTATTATCCTCTCAGCCCAAGAAAGTGTATCAGTCCATGGGATATATTAATGGCCAAAACATGCTCAAACTGTGTTTGTGCACGCACATACATGCATGCTCACACACACACTCTCCCGCTCGCCAGTCCTGGGTCTGAACTCAGGGACTCTGGCTCTCACTTGGCTTTTTCACTCAAAGCTGGGGTTTGTACCACTTGAACCACAGCTCTACTTCTAACATGCTCAAATCTTGTGCAGCTATCAAGATACAGTGACAAAGCACAGTCTTTCAATATCTAGAAAGGCAAACAAACATGCAGAGTCTCTAATAATACCAGATGACAAGAGCTAAGCAAAAGAGTTAAGAGAGTAGGAAGCAGCAACATTAACACAGATGGAATATCCACCCAAAACCTTCAATTACATCTCTAAAAGGCCTTTAAATTAGTCATCTTCAAGGTGCCAGTATGAAAGAACTTACTTGATCTGACACTCACAGGGACGAGATAAGAAGGGAAAGCAGGTAAGATCAGTTTAGATATATGAAAACACTCAAATTAGTCCAAGACAAAATTCACACACAAGCTGGGTGCCAGTGGCTCATGCCTGTAATCCTAGCTACTCAGGAAGCTGAGATCTAAGGATCACAGTTCAAAGCCAGCCAGGGCAGGAAAGTCTGTGAGACTCTTATAGCCAATAAACCACTAGAAAACTGGAAGTGGCACTGTGGCTCAAGAGGTAGAGCACTTGCCTTGAGCTGAAGAGTGCAAGGAAAGCACCCAAGCCCAGAGTTCAAGCCCTCTGACCAACAAAAAAAAAAAAAATTCACACACACAAAACTCTCACACCAGTCCTCACTTGTGCATAACCTCAAAATTTCCAAGAACAGCCAGCCTTATGCTAATCACACAATTAAAATGTTTAACCAAGTTAAACGTTATCAACTTCAGGGTCCCCATCTATAATAAAGTTTAACAAGGTTGTTGGGAAAATTGTTTTGTTTGTTTTTCCTTTGGGGGGGAGGGGGTGCTGGTAGTGGGGCTTGCAGCCAGGGCGCTGACCCTTAGCTTTTTTACTCAAGGCTGGCGCTCTACCACTTGAACCACAGCTCCACTTCGGGCTTTTTGGTGGTTACTTGGAGATAAGAGACTCTGAGGTTTCCCGCCTGAGCTAGCTTCGAAACTGGTTCCTCCTACCTCAGCCTCCTGGGTAGCTAGAATTACAGGCCTGAGTTACTGCCGCCTGGCTAAGATTCTCTTTGTTATTGTTGTTTGTGTGGGTCCTGGGGCTTGAACTCAGGGTCTGAGCACTCTCCCTGAACATTTTTGCTCAAGGCTAGCACTCTACCACTTGAGCCAAAGCTCTACTTCCAGGTTTTTGGTAGTTGATTGGAGCGGAGAGAGTCACAGCCTTTCCTGCGCCGGCTGACTTCAAAACTCGATCCCCAGCTCTCAGCTTCCGGAGTAGCTAGGATTACGGTACCCGCGGCTTGCTACCGAGGCGTGCAACAAACACAATGACAGCAATGTAGCAGGTGCTCAGGAAATGCGTACGAGCGTGGCCCACGGTATCAGGGGAGAAGCTCCATGAGAAGATCCCCGAGTACAATCCTTTCGTGACTGCGCTACCCCCACCCACGTCGCCGTCAAACGTAAAGCCACGGACACGCCCCCAAAGCAGACCCTCCCCCTCGGACGTTCCCGTCTCTCCAGAAAGCCTTACCCCCAGGACTCTCTCCCCTTTCGGACTCGATTTACGAAGGAGGCCTTCCGCTCGCACAGGCCTCTCCAGCACCCACTTTAGGCCCGGGCATCCCCTCGGGGCACCCAGGCCGCACGCCAGCTGCGGGCCCGCGCCGGTTACCTGGCCGCGCACCCCCGCTCCGCCACGCGCTCCCCGGACCGCACCTCGCCGCGGGCTCACGCCAGCCGTGAAAGTGCACAATTAGTTCAAACCAGCGCCCCGCCCCCTCGCACCGCCCTCTGATTGGCCCCTGTGGGCTGTTGTTCGCTGGGCACGCGGGAGGACCCGGGAAAAGGAAATACGGGGGTCACTGGGGAGGGAGAAGGGGTGACAGTACTTCCGGTCCCGGCCTGGCTTTGCAGGCAGAGAACTACAAGTCCCAGCATGACTCGCGGCCTCCGACTGCCTCCAACAAACTACGGGAGCCTGTAGGCGACGCACGGTCGCTGAAGACTGAAATTAGGACGTGGTGACGAAGTCAGTTGCTATGGAGTTACGCTAAGTAAGGTAGTGGAAGGACGAGGCTGGAGGGAAAGCGACTGCTGGTGAGTTGGGCGGGAAAATCGGAGAGCTCTATGGAGAGGGGAGGGACTCCACCAAAAAAAAAAAAAAAAAAAAGACCAAGAACTTGGCTAATTTGGACCTGGGACCTCAACTCACACCCCCTTTCAAAGTGAACAAGACACAGATCCACTTAGGATAGACTAGGGAGGACAAGATGGCTGAAGGGAGATCTGAACCGCTCTCAGACCAGGGGGAAACCCTCTTCAAAGGAGTAGCTAAGGAGTCTAGACATGAAGGGAACTGGTGGGCCTTTTTCTTTTCCAAATAGACGTTTTCTCAGAGTCACCAGGTTGCTTCTGTACACACTCCTTAAGGGCTTTGTCTCTAAATAACCTCTTGTGCCTACACCCGCCCCCCTCCCCAAAACACGGTCTACTTCTTGAAGCTCAACAGTTAGATCTGCGTTTCTTTTACAGTCGTGGCAGATCCAGTGCATTTAGTAACTTGCCTAGTAACTTCACATTCTTTCTTTATACTCATGAGCGCTTGCCTTGCATGCTTGAGGCCCTTGGTTCGATTCCTCAGCACCACATAAGCAAAAGGGAAAGAGCCGGAAGTGGCGCTGTGGCTCAAGTGGTAGAGTGCTAGCCTCGAGCTGAAGAGCTGAGGGACAGCGCCCAGGCCCAGAGTTCATGCCCCACAACTGGACCCAAAAAACATTTAAAGAGTTCTATAAGTCAAAGCCATTATCACCATTTCACAGATTGAAAACTGAAACCCAGAGAGGAGAAGCGACTTGCCCTAGGCCGCTCACTCAGTGACCGTGCTAGTAGGTAACAGTTCTCCAAGTGCCAGCCAAGTCTCCTTAGCCTGAACCTTCTGCCTCCAACCTTAAAAACTTGTTCTAAGGAACAGGTTACAGTGCCCCAAGGAAAAGAAACCTACATGGCCTACTTTCTATTATTTATTCTTCAACCTGAATGAACTTCAAGTCCTTCCCTGAAAGTTTTAATGAAGAAAGTGAAGGAACTACAAAGACTGAAGCTAGTGGGAATCAAAACTAAACAGAACAGTCTGGCTAGCATAGCACCTGAGTTCTGAGGCTACCCTGATTAGTTGACCCTATCATAAACTTCTTGAGTCTTGGTCCTCTGCATCCCCCTTACTCTGTGTTGTCTTCGTGAGTACACATCCACACCCCACAATTTCATTGGTATTCATGTATCTCCAGCTAGCCTTTATCTCTAAATCATGAAATCCAGTAACCAGTTTCCTCCTTGAGTTCTTCATAATGTCTAAAAGGCAACTCTAATTCCACATTTCTGTGTACAACAAAACCCTCTCCTCCAAGCCTATATTCCAAACAGGATCTCTTCCAGTGTTCCTGCAGTGTGCAAGTGTCAAAAACCCAAAAGTTATCTTTAGTATCTCCCATTTATCATCTATCATGAGTCTTGCCAGCTTTTTTTTTTTTTGTCCATCATAGGGCTTGAGCTCTAGGTCTGAGTGCTGTCCCTCAGGTCTTCAGCTCAAGGTGAATGTTCTACCACTTGAGCCACAGAGCCATTTCTGGTTTTCTGGTGGTTAATTGGAGATAAGAGTCTCACAGACTTTCATGCCCGGGCTGGCTTTGAACCGCAATCCTCAGATCTCAGCCTCCTGAGTAGGTAGGATTATAGGCGTGAACCACCAGCACTAGCCCAGCTTTACTTTCTTAAGTATCTTTTATGAAGTCCTAGCTACCATCACATCCTTCCAGCCTTCCCTCCCAGCCATTTTGCATGCTGCAGCCAGAGTATTCCTTCAAAATGCAAATCTGATGTTATTCACCCTCCCCATCCCCATTTAAATATATACTTTATGGCTTCCTATTCTCTACAAATAAAATACACACTACACATACATAATTTCTTTTCCTGTCCAGTTGTTTGAAGTTTTTGTTCGTTTTGTTTTCATTGGTCCTCAGGCTTGAAATCTGGCTTGGGCACTGTCACTGAGCTCCTTTTGCTCATGGCTAGCACTCTACCACTTGAGCCACAGTGCCACATCTGGCTTTTTCTGTGATTAATTGGAGATAAAAGTCTCATTCCTGGGGGCTGGGAAGGTGGCTCAGTGGTAGAGCACTTGCCTTGCATGCCTGAGGCCCTGGGTTCGATTCCTCAGCACCACACAAGCAAAAAGAAAAAAGCCAGAAGTGGCGCTGTGGCTCAAGTGGTAGAGCACTAGCCTTGAGCTGAAGAGCCAAGGGACAGTGCCCAGGCCCAGACTTCAGGCCCCACGACTGGACTCAAAAAAAAAAAAGAATCTCATTTCCTGCCTAGGCTGGCTTTGAACCATGATCCTAAGATCTCAGCCTCCTAATTCTAGGATTACAGGCCTGAGCCACCAGTTCCTGGCCAGTTATTTGAGTTTTAATGTCTTCAAAATTTTAAGCAAGGATGGGAAGGTGGCTCAGTGGTAGAGTGCTTGCCTTGCATGCATGAGGCCCTGCGTTCGATTCCTCAGCACCACATAAGCAGAAAAAGCCGGAAGTGGCACTGTAGCTCAAGTGGTAGGGTACTAGTCTTCAGCTGAAGAGCTGAGGGACAGTGCCCAGGCCCAGAGTTCAGGCCCCACCACTGAAAAAAAAAAAAAAAAAGCATATAGCTGTTACTTGTGGGACTTAAAAAAAAAACACAACAAAAACAAAAAACTAAGACCTCCTGCATGCTAAGCACACTTTATTACTGAGCTATATTCTCGGCCCCTGGAATCTTCCTGCTACCCTCTCCTCACCTCTGCTTATCTTTCAGAATTCTCTGTCACTTCTGGAGGAATGACCAGGTTAGATCCCTTAATCACAGCAACTACATATCTACTATTTGCCACTCCTAGGAGATACAACTGGGAGAAAAGCACAGTTCCTTCCTCGAATGAATTTATAGTCATTTAGACAGCAAGCAGATAATACAGTATTAGGATTGCTACCATAACAATAGTGTAGGATTTAAGGAAGCCAAGGAGAGGAGTTCTGCATCCATATCTGTAGAGAAAGGTAGACTTTTTCAGAAAAGTTGAAACCAGAGCTAAGTCCTAAAGTGAAAATTATCAAGGTAGCTGGGTGCCAGTGGCTTGCACCAGTAATCCTTTTTTTTTTTTTTTGTCTGTCATGGGGCTTAAACTCTGGCCCTGGGTGCTGTTCCTGAGCTCTTCAGGACAAGGCAAGCACTCTACCACTTGAGCCACAGTGCCACTTCTGGTTTTCTGGTGGTTTATTGGAGATAAGAGGCTCAGGAACTTTCCTTGCCCAGGCTGGCTTAAAACTGCATTCCTCAGATCTCAGCCTCCTGAGTAGCTAGGATTACAGACGTGAGCCACCAGCACTGGGTACACCTGTACTACTAGGAGGCTGAGAGCTGAGAATTGAGGTTCAATATCAATACTGGCAGACAAGTATGAGAGATTCTTTATCTCCAGTTAATCAGCAAAAAGTTGAAAGCTAAGGGGTGGCTCAAGTGGCAGAACACTAGCTTCAAGTGAAGAAGTTAAACGAGAACACAAGGCCCTGAGTTCAAGACTTAGCACACGCACACACGCATATGCACACAATCAAGCAAGCAAGCAAAAGTTGGAAAAAACTATATTCCAAACAGAACTGGAAGTGGAAACTATTCAATCAGAGACAAGTGCAGGGAACTGGCTGTGTGTTGTTGGATTCTCTGTGTTGCAGAATTGGAGGTGAGGGTAAGGAGATGGGAGTAGAAAGGTAGGTGGGAGCCAGGTTGAATCTTGGGCTCACTCTTGGCACCTAGGAACATAACTTTTCAGAGTATATTAGTTTATGTAGCAATTCTTTTTTTTTTTTTTTTGCCAGTCGTGGGCCTGAACTCTGGGCCTGGGCGCTGTCCCTCAGCTCTTCAGCTCAAGGCTAGCGCTCTACCACTTGAGCCACAGTGCCACTTCTGGCTTTTTCTGCTTTTGTGGTGCTAAGGAATCAAACCCAGGGCCTCATGCATGCAAGGCAAGCGCTCTACCACTGAGCCACCTTCCCAGCCCTTACGTAGCAATTCTTTATGGTATGTTTTGATTCTCCCACCTACAGCCCATAAACAGAAACACTCAGCTTAGCTGTCAAATCTCACCTGATTACTGCTTACAGCCTCACACCATCTTGTTGCTGCAGCTTAAGAGAAAGCAAAGGAAGTGGAGTTGTGGCTCAAGTGGTAGAGCGCTAGCCTTGAGCAAAAAAACACAGCGGGCACACTGAGTTCCTGAGTTCAAGCCCTAGGACCAACACTAGTAAATTGCTTGCCAGGTACTAGTGGCTCATGCCTATAATCCTAGCTACTGAGGAGGCTGAGATCTGAGGATTACAGTTCTAGGCCAGCCCAGGCAAGAAAGTTGTGACACTTTTTTTTTTTTTTGGTCGGTTGTGAGGCCTGAACTCTGGGCCTGGGCACTGTCCCTCAGCTCTTCAGCTGTAGACTAGCACTCTACCACTTGAGCCTCAACCCCACTTCCGGCTTTTTCTGCTTATGTGGTGCTGAGGAATCGAACCCAGGGCCTCATGCATGCAAGGGAAGCACTCTACCACTAAGCCACCTTCCCAGCCCCAAATTTTGACACTCTTATCTCCAGCTAACCACCAGAAAACTGGAAGTGGGGCTGTGGTCCAAAGTGGTAGAGCACTAGCCTTGAGTGAAAGAAGTGAAAGAACTCAGGGACAGCACCCAGGCCCTGAATACAATCCCCACCAACAACAACAGAGAGAGAGAAAGAAGAGAGAGAGAAGGGGAAGAGAGAAGGAGGGAGGGAAGGAGGGAGAGGGAGGGGGGAAAGCAGAAACAGGCTGACAGAAAATCTAATCCCAATTGTTAGAAATTTTACCAAAACTGAATATCATAAATTTGTCAATTTAGGACTAGTTAAATAAAATTAAGTAAATTAGGATACATACTGTGGGACACTCAACAGCTAAGTATAAAGGATAAAAAGGTAAGTCTTCAGTTTGGGGAAATAATGATTTACAGAATATTTCTTAAAATACATACAATTTTTTTCT